TGCTACTGCATTCATAGCGCACTCTTCTGGTAGACATGAACCAAGTTTTTTTCGTAAAGATTGACAACTAACATGATCATAGGTTCGACTGCGTTTCCAAAACCAATTTACTGGTCAAATCATCGCACAGTTCAGTTGGCCTTGATCCCTTGGTTTGGCGAACGCGATCTGACGGACCAAATTATATCCCTTCATACTATGCCTATGTACCATGGTATGTTCGGGACCCGCCGCACCTTCGTTTGCGTGCTAACGCTCCGGATAGGGATGGGTGTTCTGCAGACATTTTGGTCGGCAAGTTGCTCGTTGGCTGTTATGAGATAGTTCTTCATCTTTCTGACAAGTCTTCTAGGCCGCGTGTGGTTTAGTTTTAAGCGCTTTTGAGCCGAAATCCCCTCCGACTATTCCGACCCCCGAGAATTTTTTCGACGGTGCGAGAACAACAAGCAGTGACATCATACTTTGTGTTCCTTCCTTCATCGAGGTACATATACCTGGTGCGATCTTCGATCCTTGTTTAACACTTTCATATTCAGGCATGGTCCCGCAAGCCGGAATATGTCCAGTGGCTGGCCACGCGTAGCGGAGTGGTTAGTTTGGAAGTGCCTCTGCCCAGCGTAAACTGATGGCGGTTCAAAGCTGTATGGTGGCGGCCCGTTGAATAAACATGCTGGAGACTACATGACTTCACAAGGGGTCTCGATCTTCATCCTCTATGGCTCGTGAGCAAATTTTCGTCTTTCAACGACTCCATTTGAGAGAAGTAGCTCTGAAGGTGGCATCATAAGTCCTGTTTTGCCAGGTTCGTTGTGCTGCTCAAGATGCGCTAAAGCACTCAAATTGCGCCAGACCAAGTTGGCTACGACTGGGAATATTTCAAGTTCCCAGATTTGGTGACCGCCGAGATGATACCGTCCGGAAACGAAACTTTCGAACTCGTCATGGTCGTGCGTAACATTCCCGCACCGACACGGAGATATTAACAGGTGATATACCATAGTCCAACGAATTCTGCCGACCTTCCGTCCTGAACACTCGGGTCAATGGGATCGATGCGTATGCAACTTCTGACTTGATGATTCCGCATCCCACAAAGCCGGGCTACTGGAAGATTTACGGGCGTGTGGATGACCAAATTATGCACAATACAGGAGAAAAGGTGAACATCCTATGTCCATTTTTGTGTTCAGATTCTGATCGACTCACAAAGACGAATCCGGGCCCCTTAGGTACGAAGTTGAATTTTTTTTTCGTGAACTGTAGATCTTGACTGGGTGGTTAGAAAATATCTTGAACCAGGACCCCCATGTATTGTCCTCTGTCATGTTCGGCCGGGGACGTTTTCAAGCAGGCGTCATTGTGGATCCGAGGCCCTCATTCGAGTTTGATCCTTCGGACACAACCAAATTAGCCGAATTCCGGAACAGAATCTGGTGCGTTGTGTCCATGTATCTCGACAATACACCCAGATTTTCAAGGCCCACCATCGTGAAAATGAACGAATTTGCTCCTCAGCACTCGAGATTATTCAAAGAGGTATTCAATCCCTTTATTCAGCCTAACCGATCTGACGTGTACATTATCCACGAAGATGATTATTGTGCCCAAACCCGAGAAACCGTTAGTTAATAATAACAATGCGCTGTTTTTTTTCAACAGGTGTATCTTGTATTTGCAGATTCACATACACGGCAAAGATGACCGTGCGCCGACAGACAGTGATTGCCGATTACGAGGATGAAATTGCAGCACTATACGAAACAGTCGAACAGTCCGCATCCCTGAACATCCCACCGTTGGTTCAATGGGATGCCAGCTCGATTCTGGATTTCGTCCGTGACGTCGTTCACAATGTCATGCCCACGGAGATCGGAGATGATGAGGACATATTCCAACACGGATGTGATAGTCTGCAAGCGACCTGGATCCGGAACTGCTTATTAAGCCCTCTCCGTGATTTGGCACAACTCGACACTAGGGAAGACACGGATAATTTTGTTTACGAGGATCCAACCATTTCGCGGCTCGCCCGGTTCATGTTCAGGAAGGCGTCCGGGCAACACGCCGAGGACACATCCGTGACGTCCAAATCCGACGCGATGCACGAGATGGTGGCCGAATTCGTTCAGGACTTTCCGATCCACGCTGGAGAGCGACGGCTACCCTTGTCTACAGCGAAAGTGGTCCTGGTTACGGGAACGACTGGAGAACTCGGCTGCCACCTGTTGTCGCTTCTCTTGGCCGATAATAACGTGGTTCAGATTTATGCTATCAACCGATCCTCTCCACAGAAAGGCAGCTTGCGCGACAGACAGGCCCGTGCTCTTCTTGAACGTGGGTTGGATGGGGCCCTCCTAGATTCCCCGAAGTTGTCGCTTCTTGCAGCAGACATTGCAAGACCCAGTTTTGATCTCCCTGCCTCCGTTTACCAGCAGGTGCGTCATCTACTGTTTCATTTTCCATGGCTCTGAGTCCAAGCTGCGCAGATGCAGGACTCCGTCACCCATATCATCCACAGCGGTGAAGAAAATACACTTTTGATCGTTGAAAATTTGCCTGAACACACTTCATAGCCTGGCCCGTCGATTTCAATCTCGCACTGCGCTCCTTTGAACCTAATCTCAAGGGTCTTCGGAAGTTGATTGATGTTTCGTTGGGATCGCCCCTTGTCACTCCTCCTCCGTTGCTTTACACAAGCTCCGTCGGGGTTTTCCAGAGTGAGAATTCGATGATATATTGGCAAAGCATTTATCACTAACCAGCCGCCAGATGTCAGCGCAACGAATCCGCTAAAAGAGACTCGCATCGATTGTGGGATAGCGATTTCAACCGGATACCCAGAATCTAAGTGGATCGCCGAGGAAATTCTCTCCAAAGCGACAACATCCACACCGTTGAAATCGCTCATTATTCGGGTCGGTCAGCTGTGCGGAGGGATGAATGGTGCTTGGAACACTAATGAATGGGTCCCGGCCCTCGTCCAGAGCGCCAAGTTCGTCGGATGCATCCCCGATGACAGCAGGGTGCGCTACCTGAATCATTCAGTTGAGAGAGCACGAATAAATGTTATTTTCTGACAGGACATTACCTGGCTTCCGGTACACATCGCCGCGACAGCCATCATCGACTTTCTCGAAGTTGACCCCGCGACGAGAATCGTGCACCTCGTCAACCCGCAGCCCGTCGCCTGGACGACTATTGGGAACGCTATCGCTGCCGACCTGGGCGTTCCGCTAATACCATACGCCGAGTGGCTGAACCGTATCGAGAATGCCCAAACGAAGGAGAAATCTTTCCGCGCGCTTCGTCTCCTCAAATTCTTTGGATCCCCAAATCGCCGGACAGGCCAAGAAAGAGATGCCTTTGGATTCCCAAAACTGGACCTGGCAAACGCTCTGAGTGCATCTCAATCCTTGCGTTCCCCATACTGTCGACTGGGAGAAAAGGAGGCGCATCAGTGGGTGCGGTACTGGCGAAGCGTCGGGCTGTTTTGAAGCAACGGTATCTGGTAGCCGGCTCACTCTGGAAAGTAACATTAGAAGTGATAAAGATGCAGATCTTCAGGCTGAAAGGGAAGACAGTACATACAATATGACGCAGTTGGATTTCAACCCATTTCCTGGACCAGTTTTTGATTGAATGCACACCATGATTCTTATTGAAAGCCTTGCAGCGAAGTACGTACTACTTAGTAGACGATCACATAGACTAACGGAAAAGGGCTGCTCGTCGGAGGCCCTGGACTCGGAGCACCATTTTCATGTTTATCCTTTCTCGCACGCTTCCGAGAGAACTTGCTGAAACTTGGCTTGGCTAAAGTGTAGTGAGAATTTTTGTCTTTTTAAAAGAAAAAAAAACTGCTCCAGAGAGTTTCAAACTTACCTACCTACCTACCTACCTACTTCGATCTCACGATGACTACTGACTCGGTAACAGTCGTGCGCCTTAACCAACTGGGCCATGGGGCAGACATTGTTACGCAAGTACTGAAACCACACCTGTCGTAAAAAAACATCAGAGGTTCACTATACAAGCTATCACCCGACCCCGAATCGAACAGGGACCTCCTGCCAGTGCGATCGCCTTCCCTCGTAATTGGAGCAGGTGTGCGCCTCGCACCATCGGGCGGATGCTATCCATGTACTCAGGAGCTTAATGTGTTATGCGCATCTCCTGCAGTGCGATTCCTAGAATTCCTGACGCTCAGGCTGCGCCCGCCTCTCTTTCAATCGACGACATCATGATCAGGCTTTAAACAGACCACCCCATCTTGTTTCAAAGAACCTACGGTGACGCGTACTCAAACCATGGCACTTGTCGCAAAAAAAAAAACATCACAGGTTCCACATTCACCCCCAACATCACCCGACCCCGAATCGAACAGGGACTTCTTGCGAGCTCGCTTCCATCGTAATTGGAGCAGGTGTGCGCCTTACACCATGATCGGGTGGATGTTATCTGATGTACTTATTGTACGTCTCATAGCGATTCTTAGAATTTCTTACGCTCAGCCTCTATTTCAATTGACGACATAATGATCGTGCGTCGAACAGACCACCCCAACCTATTTGTACGTCTCATAGCGATTCTCAGAATTTCTTACGCTCAGCCTCTATTTCAATTGACGACATAATGATCGTGCATCGAACAGACCACCCCAACCTGTTTCAAAGAACCTCTACGGTGACGCGTGCTCAAACCACAATTGGCGCAAAAAAAAATAGACATTCGCTACGTAGTACGGTCCAGGATCATCACCCGCCGACCCCGATTCGAACGGGGACCTCGGAGGATGCAACATAAATTGGAGCTTGCACCATCAGGTGGAGACTATATATATATACTACTCGATCTTCCGAGAGAACTTGCTGAAACTTGGCTCGGCTAAAGTGTGGTGAGAAATTGGTGAGAAAACATCGACAGTGTGGCAGACCATTATACTTACCGGAAATGGGGCTGCCAGTAGGAAGGAGAGGATTTTTTTCTTTTTAAAAAAATAACTGCTCCAGAGAGTTTCGAACTCTCGATCTCACGATGACTACTGATTCGGTAACAGTCGTGCGCCTTAACCAACTGGGCCATGGGGCACGGACGTTGAGACGCAAGTACTGAAACCATGTCGCAAAAAAAACATCAGAGTACCTACCGAACAGGGACCTCTTGCGATCGCCTTCCATCGTAATTGGAGCAGGTGTGCGCCTCGCACCATCAGGTGGATGCTATCCAATGTACTTCAGGAGCTTAATGTGTTACTTACATACAGTATGCTCATCATTTATGCAGTGCCGCCAGTGCGATTCCTAGAATTTCTTACGCTCAGGCTGCGCACGCCTCTCTTTCAATCGACGACATCATGATCAGGCTTCGAACAGACCACCCCATTCTGTTTAAAAGAACCTACGGTGACGCATGCTCAAACCACACTTGTCGCAAAAAAAAACATCGCGGTGAACGAAATCACCCGACCCCGAATCGAACAGGGACCTCCTGCGAACACCTTTTTTTTACAATTCCTCGCAATTCCTCGCAATAATTGGAGCAGGTGTGCGCCTTGCACCATCGGCTGGATGCTATCGAATGTACTTTTGATGTGTTACTCATATGCACGTCTCATGTGCGATTCCTAGAGTTCTCAGGCTGCGCACGCCTCTCTTTCAATTTAAATCGACGACATCATGATCAGCCTTCGAACAGACCACCCAGACGCGTTTCAAAGAACCTACGGTGACGTATACTCAAACCACCCTTGTCGCAAAAAGAAACATCGATGCATCGGAAGCAGTGGCACATCACCCGACCCCGAATCGAACAGGACCTCCTGCGAGCGCCTTTTCGTCTCTATGGTAATTGGAGCAGGCGTGCACCTTGCACCATCGGGTGAATGCTACTTCAGGAGCTTAATGTGTCACATACCGTATGCACACATGTGCGATTTCTAGAATTTCTTACGCTCAGGCTGCGCACGCCTCTCTTTTAATTTAAATCGACGACATCATGATCAGGCGAACAGACCACCCCATCCTGTTTCAAAGAACCTACGGTGACGTACTAGTATCTCAAACCACACTTGTCGCAAAAAAAAAATTGTGGGTTCCAAATGCGGTACTAAATAGTACCGCATTTGGTCCCTGTTCGTACGTACTATCACCCGACCCCGAATCGAACAGGGACCTCCTGCGAGCGCCTTCTCGCTTCCATCGTAATTGGAGGTGTGCCCCTTGCACCATCAGGTGGAAACTATGTACCACTTAATGTAACTTACGAGTTTGATTTCAAGTTGTTACATAGTAAGTATGTAGTATGCGTAACTTCGCCGTACACTCAGGCTCGCGCGATCCTTGGAAATTATTGTGCTGTCCACACTTCTATTTCAATGGACTATATCAGACATCGGCGGCGGACAGACCACCCCAGCTGTACAGAGAACCTATAGCGACGCGTGCTCAAACCACAAAAGTTGGCACAAAAAGAAAAACTGTGGAATTCCGAAGTCCAACGACTGGGGAAAAAGGAGGCGCATCAGTGCCAGTGGGTGCGGTCGGGCTGTTTTAAATTTTAAAGCAACGGTATCTGGTAGCTGGCTCCAGGCTCGCTCTGGAAAGTAACATTAGGATAAAGATTCAGAATCTCAGATCTTCAGGCTGAAAGGGAAGACAGTACATACGATATGACGCAGTTGGATTTCAATCCATTTCCTTGACCAGTTTTTGATTGAATGCACACCATGATTCTTATTGAAAGCCTTGCAGCGAAGTACATAGACGATCACATAGACTAAGTAAACGGAAACGGGCTGCTCCGTCCGATCGGGGGCCCTGGACTCGAAGCACCATTTTCATGATTATCCTTCCTCGCACGCTTCCGAGAGAACTTGCTGAAACTTGGCTTGGCTAAAGTGTAGTGAGAAATTGGTGAGAAAATATCGATAGTGTGGCAGACCATTACTTACCGGAAATGGGGCTGCCAGTTAGCAAGACTCCGGAAGGAGTGGATTTTGTTTCTTTTTTAAAAAATAACTGCTCCAGAGAGTTTCGAACTCTCGATCTCACGATGACTACCGACTCGGTAACAGTCGTGCGCCTTAACCAACTGGGCCATGGGGCACGGACATTGAGATGTAAGTACTGAAACCATGTCGCAAAAAGAGATTTTAAGCTATCACCCGACCCCGAATCGAACAGGGACCTCTTGCGAGCGCCAGCTTCTCGCTTGGAGCAAGTGTGCGCCTTGCACCATCGGGTGGATGCTATCCGATGTACTTACCGTGCTACATAGCACGTCTCACAAGTTGAGTCCGAGTCATGTGCGATTCTTAGAATTCTTACGCTCACTGAGGTTGTGCACTGCACGCCAACAATTGACGACATCATGATCGTGCATCGAACAGACCACCCCAACCTATTTCAAAGACGGTGACGCGTGCTCAAACCACAATTCGCTACGTACGGATCATCACCCGACCGAACGGGGACCTCCTGCGAACGTGGAGGATGCGACATAAATTGGAGCAGGTGTGCGCCTTGCACCATCAGGTGGAGTCGGACTATCATGTAACTTACGAGTTTAATTTGTTACATAGTACAGCACTATGTAGTATGCGTAACTTCGCCGTACACTTGTGCGATCCTTGGAAATTCTGAAATTCTTGTGCTGCCCACACTTCTATTTCAATGGACTATATCAGACATCGGCCGCCACGGACAGACCACCCCAGCTGTTCAGAGAACCTAGTTACCTACAGCGACGCGTGCTCAAATCATAATTGGCACAAAAAGAAAAACTGTCCCATTGGTCCATATCATTGGCACCCGACTCCGAATCGAACGGACCTCCTGCCAGCATTTCTAGACACCGTACTTGGGGCAGTTGTGCGCCTTGCACCATCGGGTTCATACTACCCAATGTAACTTGCAAGCTAAATTGTTACATGTGCACGTCTGCGTGGACTCGTGTCCGCGCGCGATCTTACGCTGCGCACGCCTCTCTTTCAATAGACTAAGTACATCCGGAGAGACCACCTTACCTGTTCGTGGTGACGCGTGCTCAAACCACAATATTGGCGCAAAAAAATGCTTCGCGGGATCATCACCTGAGTGACCTGACCCCGAATCGAACTGCCATTGCAATATTGAAGCAGGAAGGCGTCTTGCACGATCGGATCGATACTACCCAATGTAACTTGGGAGTTGATATGCATGGACTCGTTTCCACGCGATTCCTAGAACTTCTTGCAGGAACAGGCACAAAACATGTCTACTCCGACGTTTCCTCACTCATCACCCGACTCCGAATCGAACGGAGGCCCGTTTGACGACTCAGACAGATAGTTTGAATTACAGCAGGTATACCCCTTGCGGGTGGCAACCGCTAGCTTGAGTGTGACCTGTACATAGGTACACGGCAACGCGGACCGGCTCGGCTATCGCACGTACCTGTGTATAGTAGGCGCCGTGAGGCACCCCATCGAGGACTTGGTCTAGTTCGTCCGATTGATGGCCGGGTGCACAGGCGCCGATGGCGCCCTAAGCACCATTCCACAGATCCACACCCAGGTCTGGGGTATCACAATGATAATGAGTTTGAGTTTAGAGCCCGGGCGTCTTTCGTGGACTTCTATCAGTGATGGCATCAGATAATGCGCGCGCGCCATCTTTATAGCGCTCGCGTGCTTACTGAGGTGCTTACTGAAGCACACGATCGACGTCCGTTCCCGTCGCGCACATGATGACAACAGAAAGAATCGAGGGCATTTCCAAACTTGCCGTCGGTGATCTGGGCCCGAACACAGTGCATATATAAGCATTGCTCTCAGTCTGATTCATACATTTCAGCCTACGCCCCTTGAGCCGAAAAGCCCTTTTTTGAATAGTATGAACGGGGTAACATTTAGCGGTGCAATAAAATTCTTGTGTGAATTTCGGCGCTGCAGGGAGACAAAACAGCGGTGCCCGAACGCTGCCCGAGGCGTTTGACAAATATTGTGAATAAACAAGTATGCGGTTCTGTGGAGCTTTATAGTTTTACCGATTTGAACTGCTCTGCGGGGATCTTGTGCAGACCGGAGATAGATGAGTCTGGCGACTGACTGGCGACTGAAGGTTGAGGATCGGCACCCCGGCCCACCGCTATCACGTAGATCACGTGCATCCTCAAGCGACCACTGCCTCCTTGAGCCGTGCTCTCGTCTCGTCGATGCTGCTTTCAGTCGGCTAGCCCTGACGACGGTGGCCACGGGCTACGGCACCACGCGCATGCCACTGCAACGATGTCGATGGACGGAAGCTATGACACTGCGACGAGTACGTACGGTTTGTAAGCGTTTGTGTCAAAATCAAAACCAACGCAGTTTGTCTCCTTTTTCTCCGCACTGGAGTCTGCTGTCCGCTTCCTCAGTGTCGTGAAAATTCCCAAAAGATTCTGCAAAAGCGGCGACGGTATATTTTTGTTTTTTGTTTTTTGTTTTTTTAATGTTCTGTGAGACAACGCCAAATGGGGCTATCAAAACTTACAGCATGCAACGGAGACGTCGGTGACGCCCAGGGACTTGTGTAGCAGGACCGCGCCGGGCTGTAGTCGGCAACATAATGACTCCCGCTTAAATATACATTGTCCCCCGATCGTCGCTCATCCCCCATGAAGCCCGCAAAATTCAAGACCCCCACCTGCGCCCTCTGTCGCCGCCGCAAACTCGTGCGTCGTCCTCCCCGGCGTCCGCGAATTTACCACTCATTGGCTGCAGCGCTGTGATGGCGGAGATCCCTGTGGGCCGTGCTCGCGCACACGAACACCAGTCGTGTGTACATACGTCCCCAAGACGGTGGGACAGCTGCGCTCAGACTTGCCCAAAGGCGGGGCATGCGTGCGTCCACACTCGATCTCATTTTTTTTGGTCCTGACCACTCCGCAGATAATATGTCGGTGCGCGCGTCCCTTTCTTGTACTTGCGAATTGAAAAATTTATCGACGCGTCCGACAGGCAGCGAAAGCGGGTGAGCGGCACCGCACATGCCCCTGCTTTTTTTTTTCCTGACTCGGACTGCAGAAGTGTGACGGCAACCTGCCGTGTCTGACGTGCACGCAGTCGGAGCGGCCTGACGACTGTAAATACCGCGACAAGCCGCTGGGCTCCGCGCTGCTCAAGCCGCCCATGCGGCGCGCACAGTCACGCGAGGAGTCCACCTCCGACTCGGCGAGCACGTCCTCGAACTCGCTGTCGCGCCCGACGACGCCGGCGGACCAGGAGCGGCCGTACCAGGAGCGGCTGCCGTACCACTACGTATCCAGCGACCTCGGGCTGCAGTGCGACACCGACTACAGCGAGCTCTTCGAGCTCAACGACCAGCTCCTCCCGTGGGCGGAATTCGCGCAGCCGCCGGAGTGCTACTCGGAGCACTCGAGCTCGCTCAGCGACAGCCCCATGATCCTCCCCACCCTCGATGAGGTGCCGTTCCCGCCAATGCCGCAGGCGTGCGACACCGAGCCGTGGATAGTGTGCGTTGCCTCTCTTCCCGCGCAACCTCAATGTTTTTTATTTTTTTTAAATTGTGTTCAGGCGGAACCTCCTGCTGGAGCACCGCTTCCAGTACGGGCTCAACATCACCGCCGAAAAGCACGACGCCATCTCGCGCGGCGACCACTCCGGGCGCGCGGTTGATCCGACGCTCGTCGACGTGTGCCAGCTCCTCGGCTACATCCTGCGCTACCACCCGCATCAGGACGGGTGGCTCTCGTTCAACTCCCACACCGCCGCGGAGCTCGAGCTCGACGTGCGCGTGCGCGATGCGCTCGAGCGCGGCGCGGGGCCGGCGCCGCTGGTCGCGCTGCAGACGTGCTCGCTGCTCTCCCTCTACTACGCGCTTAAGGAGGACGTCTGCGGGTGC